GTGAAACCTTGAGTGTGCACTTGTAGAGTCGAGACCAGCGGTTGGTTCATCGAGGAAAAGCAGAATCGGATCGTGGATGATATCAATCCCAATGGATACTCGCCGCCTCTCACCTCCGGAAATTTCACGGTGGCCTTCATCTCCGATCACCATTTTCGCCGCGATGAGATTCTTCTTCAGGGCTTCTGGGTAAACGAAACTCGACGGAGAACATTTAAGGTTTTTTCAACTGTAAATCGCTACTGGATGATTGATTTTTATGTGCAAGGGTAATAAGAGGATTATTTCGTAAGAGTCATGTTTACTCCGTAATTAGAGGAGGAACAAAAGTTATATAATTGTTTCAGCAATGAGAAAAAATGGTGATCTTACGGCCTGACTGACACCGAATCATCGACTGCAAACTCTTTCCTTTATAGATAAACAAACAAAGTACAACAACAGGCCAATTACAACAACATGTTATATGCATTCTTAAGCAATCGGTTTTGTACGTGGGACTTATTTGTGGACGATCTAGCAAAGAACCAATTGGTTCTCTTTCATTTCTCCCCACATATGGACTTGTTTAGTACGATCGCGGAACTCGTGATTCAGATTACTGGGCTAGCTTCATAAGTTTGATCCATGTGGAATATATACTCAACGAGAGGAGAGCGTTTGGGAAAACTCTTCTTACCGATATCTTGAACCAGAACTTTGTCCTTGAGTTCTTGTAGATGGATGATTGTTGCTAGTTTTGCGATACTTTGCCAATTCATTCTTAGAATGAGAAAGAAGTTTCTGAGCGTCTTCCAATCTCTTGGTATAATCAGTATCAGCAAGTTTAAATGACACCGTGTCCTGTACGATAAAAAGGAGATTCGGAATCTTTGCATCAATCACTGAATTCTTCGCCATATTCTAGGTTTTTTGTCACATGCAGTAAACGGTGCAGAAAGGTTTGACGTATTATGCAAACCTTTGTTGTTTGTGGAACGCGTTGGTTACTGGCTTGTGCATTATGGACTGTTCGATCAACTTCAGCTAACCTCCTAAGTAAATTGCTCTTGTCATTCTGCAAACGGAAGATCGAAAGAATTTGTGGGTTGAGAAAAACACACATAATAGAGCTGGTGGTGAAATTTTATGTAGAAGAAACTCCTTATTACCTTCAGCATTTCGTTTTGCATAGAAAGCAACTGAACTCGCTCTTGTAGTTGGTCCAAAAATATCTGCGTCGCAAGAACATCTGTGTCTTTCTTGTTCAACTCTGACATGCAACTGTCAACACAAACGCAGGATCATCCAAAGAGAGAAAAGGCTAATCAACAATCTTAGTGGTATTTTTAAGGGAGTTGTGAATTTGAATTTATTTTACATTCAAGTACTCTTTCTTAAATCTTTTCTGCGGAATTTTAACTGTTTCGTTTGGGTGCTTTAAGAGAAAGAAAAATAAGCATTTTGGACTCATGATAGAAACAGTTCTTACCTTTCTCTTTCCTTAACAAGGGCATCAAGATGTCTCTTCAGGTTGATGAGTTCTTGCTCCTAAAATCGACAAGAGAAAACGAAAAATGGTGTCAATAACAAAACTGAAGACCAAGTAAAGAAAGTGGATGCCGTTAAGTACATAGCATCACCTTGGACAGGATCTGTTCAGCATGTTGCTGAGCCTCTTCAACCATTTTTTGGACGTGGTGCTGGTCAATCAACTCCTGAAATGTCCCGAAAAGGAAACATTTAGAAAAGAATGCCTCTAACTCTCTTGAAGGTGGCTTATAATCTGATCTACTTACAGCGTAGCTGGTTATATCCATTTTCACACCAAGTAAATCCCGAATAACATCGTGAGTCATGCTATCAGCTGCGGCTATTCTCGTGTTCAATGTGCAAACCTGTTCAATCATGAAAATATGTAAGAGATATTCACTGAGTCACTCCAAATCGAGAATCAAGGTGACGGAAAAAAAGAACAATCAAGTGCAGGTATACTGGACCTCTTTCTGTTTAGCAGCAAGCAATGACTCCATCTCTTCAATACGAAGCCTTGCAATGGTCAATTCCTGATCCTTCTCCAAATTCATCTGTTGAACCAACCCAACTATACATCTAAAGGGTGAACTTGAACCTCTGCTCCTTATTGAGCTTTTCTCTGTTTTATGTATGGTCCCTGCAGCTGACGAACTTGAGTCTTCTAATTTAAAGTCTCGAATCATGACCTCCAGGGTCTTATACTGTTAAGATTGATAGAAAGGAAACAATATGAGCTACACTTCCAGGTCTTGATCGAAATCTAAACCATTGTTGTCAAAATTTGTCTCCTTCAGTTGCAGCACAGTGGAAATCATATACAATTCTTGACTAGATTTTTTTGTTTCAAATCATGACATGGTGTTTAGCAAGACCATCAACAGAGCCACATATATGTACAAAATGCGCAGCATGGAAAGTAGTTATCCACTGGAGCTAAATCATCCAACAATCAGACGAAGTGCTGAGAAAAGCTAATGTCTAAAAATCTAATACCTTTTCTTGGTAAGCAGATGCTTGCGCCTCAGAATGCAGTAAAACTTCGGAGATATACTCTTTTAGCTGTTTAATCTGTAAGTGGAGAAAAACGAAGGTAGAAGTAAAGAAAAAAAGAATAATCATATACGCAAATGTTAGGGAATTTCATGGAAAAATCGAACCGAGCAATCCAAAGATATAACACACCTCTTTGGCTTGTTCTGCTACTTCCTTCTGGAGGACTTGTACCTGAGTATGCGCGCCTTGCAGCTCCTTTGATCTATAGTACATTTATCTTTACCAAATTCAGTATTCACCGAGAAAGATACACGAGAAACTAATATCTTGAGTAGGATTACAATGGCTCACCTGGAGATTTGACTCTCATATTCCTCTGTGCCTTCATTGGTTGTGACCACCTTGCCAGTGAGGTTTTCAAATCTAAACAGTCTCTGCCTGAGAGCTTGGAGCTCTGTCTCTAATGAATCTTGAGTGGTGCGATGCCTTTTAACTTCCTCATCCATATCATACACCTGGAAGCCAAAATAGCTCACAAATAAGTATAAGAATCAATGCAACGGACCTATCAGATATAGAGAAGGATAAACAAAGCAAACTAACCCGTCTTTCTAATATATTTACAGTACGCTCAAGTTCCTCGACAGAAATTTCTAGAATCTTGACCTCCTCTTCCTTTTGTTCAGCATATATTTTACTTGCTTCAGATTCCTGCATGAGGAAAAAAAATTAAAGCCTCAATATTTCTAAAGATAAAATGATTCATCTAGAAATAAAAGGCTCCAAGTTACATACCTGACGAGCCTCTACAGCAATTGCTTCTTTTTCATCAGCTACAGCATTGGCCAACTCAAGCTTGTTATTCAACGAACATATTTCCTCAACAAGTTGATCTTTCTCATCGCTGGTCTTTTTCAAATTCTCTTCGATAGATTTGACTGCGGAAAGCAATTGCTTTTCTGCTGTAGTACTCAAGTGAAGGAGTTCGTTTTCCAAAGTTTTGACAAGCTCTTTTTGTTCTTCCAATCCCTCTTCAGCTGCATTCTTTTCCATACAGAGATCTCTAACAAGGACCCTGTACTCATCATTCTGCTCCACAAGAATTTGTATCCTCTCTTTGGCCTGCTTTAGATCTGACTTCGACGTAAACAAAGCTGTTTTCAAGTCAATGGAGCAATTTTCAAGATTCTCGGTATGAGCAAAAAGATCATGAACTTGACTTGCTTTCAGCTCCAGCTCGTGCTGAACTTTGCATAAAGCGTCAAACAGCTCGTCCATTTCATCTTTGATATCTCTTTTATTTGATGCTGATTCCTGGAGTAGCCTAAAATCAAAAAGCAAACCTTCAAACAGAGCTTCTTTTCTCTCCAGCTCCTTTTTCAGATGAAAGTTCTCATATAATAGGCTTTCATGTGACTGAACAACTTCTTCAATTTCTAAACCTGTGACCATATCTGCTCTGTGAACTCTAACTAGCTTTCCAGTGACTTCATCTTCAGCACTGCATCCAATGGTATTAATTTCCATTGACTGTTGGTTTTCTTGCCCTACAAAGAGGGGAGCGATAACCTGTTTTCTCTGGTCCAAAATTTGATCGATCAGTTTCCCAATGTGGCACTGGTATGTTGCATACATGGTGAACTCTCTCTCCATGTTTTCAGATACAATCTGTTCAACTGACGGTCTTGAGTTGGAAATCAAATGGAGTAGCTCCTTCCCAGCTAAAAGAACATCGGAAAATAAAGCCTCTAATGTTTCTCCTACTCCTCTTTTCAATTCCAGAAGATATTCTTCAAGTAAAGACACTGAATTCTCCATGTCCGCCAAAGTTGAATGTGTTTGATTTAACAAGATTTGATTTTCTTGTTCAGTTGCCGATAGTGTAGACTTGACCTGTTCAAGATCATCCGTCAGATTTTTCTCCTTAGCCATTAGCTCTTCATGGGTTTGACGCCACATTCCAGTTACATGTTTTGTTTTTTCATTGGCCTTTACTAATTCACATAGTGTGAGATCAGCTTCTTTCATGGTAGCATTAACTGCCTCAAATCGATCGAAGAAACTTCTCACAGGATCCACTCTCTGCATAAGACCCATATATTGCTCAGAAGAAAGCTGCATAGATACAAGTTCAGTGATTTACTTTGTCATTGACATGTAACCATTTTCTTTATATCTCTTGAAAAAAAAGGAACGGATGCAAGTAAAGCTTACTGGTTTACTGCATTTGCAATCTGCTTCTGCTCTCTCCATCGTTATCGTCAATGGCCTCTCGACTGACGGCCTCCCCTCTGCATAAACAAAAGTTTAAGCTTCTACTCATTTTACATCTTAAATTTAGGGTGGTGAATAAAAAAAAAAACAAGCAAAAGTATACCTCCAGAGTAAACACAATGTACAGAACCATTCTTAGCAATCACAGCTGCTGATGTAGTCTTGTTATGAATTTCTTGGGCATCAGATCCAGAACCTGAAACTCTTTGACCCGTTGCATTCGATGCACAATCATGTTGCCATCTGCAGTTTGAAAAGTCAGAGCTTGATGTTGAAAGCTCATCACCCTTCGGATATGATGCTTCACTTAAATATCCATCCTTCGACTGACTAATATCAGCATTCCCTTCCGCACTAGGAGAAGCAAAGATTGAACTTAAGGTACCGCTTTCTTTAACCGGTGTATGATCTATTTTTTCCAGCATTTGGTGTTGATTTCTAGCATCAGAAAGCCATTTCGAAACAGCAAAGGAAGCCTCGGCATGTCGTTCTGCTTTCAGAATAGAATACTGTTTTGCCTTTGAGTCACTCTCAAGCGTGTCTACCTCATTGCTCATCCTGTCTATTTCAGTGTTCACGCGGAAAGTTTCTTCAGTGGCTGCAGCATTGCCACTCAGTTGAAATTCGTTGAGGGCAATTGTTGCACCCTTTAAGGAATTCAGCTTCAAATCCATCTCTGCTAACAATATCCGTGCATCCTCTAAGCTTTTCTGTAGAAGTAAAATTGTTTCTTCCTTTCTTATACAATCTTTTGCAGCCTTCTCAACATATTCACCAATCCACGCATTCACATGGGGAAATGAACATATTATGCTTTCAATCTGTGTAGAGGCATCTTTGATGGATTTAGACCCATCCACGATAAAATTTGTTAGTTCCAAGGTGGCCTTTTCCCAGTCTTGGTTAAGTGCTCTTATTTCTGCTTCTCTAGCAGTTATAGTATCTTTCATCGATTGATTTTCTTCGGTCAAGTTACAGATTCTTCTTTGAAATTCAGACTGGATAGCAATCACCTCTTCCTGCAGCTCAAGAATTGTTCTGGCAGTTTCTGTCTCGACTTGCTCACGGACTACTTCAATATCTTGTTGTTGAGATAACTGTGACTTATGCTCTTTTTCATATTGACAATTGAGTGTTCTGGCCTCCTCGAGGTCCTTAATTACTTTCCTCAACTTGTACTGCAGGATTGACTTGTCTATTCCCTCACCAGTCTTGAGTACTGCATCTGTGTTATTGACCGTGCCACTTAACTCCATGTTATAACCTTCTATCCTAGGAACGGTTTCTCTTTCCATACTGCTTTTGTTGGTCAGCAGTTTCATGGATCTATCATCTTCCTGCAGCACATCCTGCGCTTCACTTATTAGCCAAACCCTGTTGCCATCAGGATTGCCTGAATCCCCATTGATATTACTGCAGTTTTTACTCTCTGAAAAAGCCACCTCCTCTCGGGTTTCACTTCTAGTTGACATTGTTTCTACCTGATTCAACAGAAAAAAGGTTGTTAGACGAGCTTCTCATTTATATACAGCTACCCTATTAAGCAATTTTAACTATGAAAGACAATATATACATATACACTATATAATTATTCAGACTAATTCTTGTGATACAAATAATAACTCAACAAACCATTGAATGTTGATGTGATTGATGAACCTGCTCAGCTCCACTGGTGGAAGATGCCACCTGCAAAAGGTACAACAAAGATAAACCACCAGCAGAGAAATTTTTATAAAAATCAATCCTCTGTCAGACTGAATTCTTACAAAGTCGGATTGTGTTTGGTCGAATTTCAAGTATCTTCCAAGTCCTGCTTGCATTTCATCTAGTTCTCTGCATTAAAAAGCAACACCAAAACATAAAAGACAATACCAAAGCAGGCTTCTTTTCCGATTTAGTCAAATCAATCATACTATGGTCAGGGGAAAAATGAAGAAGTTTCAGGTTCAACGTTATATTATTAACAAACACAAGGCATATCAGAATTGTACTAAGAAAATCTCTAAGAATGGGATGGCAGTTTATAGATAAAAATACAACAGTGTAAATGGTTTTCATACAATATCAAACCTTCACAAAATTTAAATGGATTTCATATAGTACCTGATCAAACTAGAGTTCATGTTTCTGCAGTCTTCCAACTCCTTTTCCACTTCGTTCTCCTACAGTGTTATCAAAAGTTCACGCGTAAGAAACCAGCAACAACAGTATCTAAGAAATTAAGAACAACAAATAGCATATTTTTCCCAAACCTTCATTACATGTTCAGAAGAGGACTCATCTTTTGCTCCAAAAACATCAAGCAGCTGCATGATATATGAAAAAAAGTTCAGTCTGAAATTTATAGGGTGAAAGGCCATATGGTGAAGGCATTCTCAAACCTGGTCGCGTAGTCCTGTCACCTCAGCAAGCAATGCCTCTCGTTCCCCACGCTCATAAAACTTCTGATATCTGAAAAGGAAGTCAAGATCAGGGCATAAGACGTTAACAAAAAAAAAGACTTCCAAAGCATTTTATAGGTGATTTACCGATGTAGCTGCTCTCGGAGCTTGATGTTCTCCAAGGCCTGACGTGTCAACTCTGGATTCTTGTCAATGCTTGCCCGAAGAAGCTTGATCTCTCCTTTTAGAGATTTATTTTCTTCAATGAGACACTCTTTTGTCATCAACGAACCAGACGTAGAGAATTCCATTTCTCCAACTTTCTCTTCCCGAAGATTAAGCATTATTTTAATGCATTTAGCATCTTCTTCCATGTCTCTAACCTGCAGTAAATGATCAAAATATAAGATAGCCAATGGAGAATCTATTTCGTTTGCATCATGAGATGAATCTGTCAAGGTTGCATCCTTTCAAAATATGAAATTGAACTGTCCTTGTAGCAAGACTAACCAAGAAATCTATACGCTCAATCTCAGCCTCGGATTTGTGAAGGGCAGTTTCAGCAATCTTTTCTCTTCTGAGAGCACCAATCAATATATCTTTCATATATTTCACCTGTTATGCAGTTATGAAATCAGTTCAATGTTTTAGTCCCGAGATATTCCACGAATTTGTTGCAAAATACCTTCTTTCTCAGTGAGTTGTGCACCGGACAGTGACACTTGTCTTGTTTTGTTTCTCCTGGTACTTCACATGTACCAGAGTATCTGGATTCTTCAAGAGAAGCTATGCATTCTGAAAGAGCTCCACAAGAATGGTTCTTCATAAGGGAGGATAGTTGGACCTGTTTGAATATATGAAAAGGTTTTGATATCAATGTCACATGCCTGTGCAGGAAATGAGGAAAGTTTGCTGTTTGGTGCAGTTTGTCAATACCTTTAACTTTCTTATTTCCTGTTGGAGTGCTGTAACATCCCCAGAGGCATCTTCATTGACTTTAGCCTGGAACATGAAAACGAAGCAACCTTACATCAGGTCAAACTTCATAGAAACACTCGTAATAAATGAAGAGTTATGAACTACATTATTCTGAATAAGTTTGGCCCGTTGTGCGAACTTCAGAGTGCTGAGGGTTTCGTTTGTAGAGCTGCAATAAGTCAATAATAAT